AACAGGTAAGCAATATAGGAATAAACTAAAAATTGAAAAAAATTTCATTCTTACTCCTCCTTTTTCTGCTCATTCTATATCAAGAAAATATCCTTTCTCTTCTAATAATTATTTGTTACTCATCAATTTTTGATTGATATATATTTATTTCGTAGTCATTATATTAATTCAACCAAAAAAAAGAGCGAAAAAAGACTGCCGTTGTTGTTGCTAACAGAATGCCTAACTGCATCTAAGTAATTTTCTCAAAAATTGGCAACTATTTCTACCCTACCGGCTAGATAAGCTCTGTACAACATGTTAGTCATTAATCCGTTTTCTATTTTCATCATTATTTGGCAATATAGTGTCAGAAAATTTTATGATCCATGTTACTCAAACAGTTTATGCTTGACAGTCACTGTTTGCCAATCTGTTATTTGCTTAAATATTGTGTGATTACCGATGACAAAAATTGACTTTTTTTTTTTTGGTTGCCAAGAATTTCATCAAACAATTTTGACTGTTCTTCTCAACAAATATTCACTAAATCCACAATTTTTACACAATTAAGTTGTTGCTTCATTCCGTTAGTACTCTCTCCACTACGGATATAAACTGTTTCCGTTAAACCTAATTTTATAAATACTTCTTAACAGCACCTAAACTGTTCACTAAAATTTACCCTTCTAACAGTTTGCTGCTTTACGTAGCTGTAGTTAACCTGCAGCAGTTGTTCCCACTAACAACTTCTACGGTGACATTGAACATTCAACACTGAGTTTAAAAAATTCAGCAAAAAAAAAAGTAGAACAACATTTCTCACGTTAAACAATAGAAGGCGAAGATGCCCATAAACTAATAAAGGATAAGTGTTGTAAACGATTAGGCAGAAAGAGAAAGAAAAGAAAGTAAAAACTGAGAAAAGCACAAAAAGAAAAGGGAAAAAAGCTTCAAAAGTCTTACCATTTCTGTCCGATAGGCCATTTCTCTTTCAAAATCCGCAAGATGTGAAAAATGTCGGTCATTTTCAAACAATGTTGATATATGATTGCTGTGTAGTACAGAAACAAAGATACCTTTAAAAAAACATTTCTTATAAGGTCTCAAAAATATAAAAAATTCCTTTTTTTCCTTGCAGTAATTCACTATAAGAGTCCATAATATTCAACAAAAATAAAAGGTATTAACAAAACCGAACTTTTTATCCATAGGAGAATTTTAACGCCAATTATTTTTAGAAGAATTCAAATATGAATCTATCAAAGAAGGAAAAAAAAA